GATCATATAAATATTATATATCTATTATTAAATAAGTATTTTTATTTATTTAGAAAGCACTTTTATCCAAAACTATTAACAAATAAGAATAATACAAGCATTTCTGTATTTATATAATTTCTTTAATCTGCATGTAGAAAATATTCCTCTTGTTTGTATAGTTTTTCTAAAGCACGGATATGCACAAAATCGCTTGATATAAGTGTGCAAGAATGGGACATTTATCACAAAATATTTTACAATAATTGCATCATTTACATGACTGCAGTGCTTGCACTGTATTAAACAATTCCCTTACTCAATCTCTCTCTCACACACACACAATCAACATTCATTCTCTCTATCATTTCCCTTCTCGCTCTTTCTCTAATATGATTACATTTTATTTGCCCCCAGTTGCAGTGGATGCCACTCTTCATTATTTAACTTCCAGAAAGCATTTTGAGACTCAAGTGATAAACACACAGACACTAATTCTAGACAATTTACCCCTATTTAGTATGATTTATTATACGCCACTGGCCACCTACTGGAGTATTCAATTAATAAAGCAGAGCTGCATGCTTCCCAAGTATATCAATGCCATCTCAAACAGACAACTTTAACCTCAATATCTCTTGCACAAATTGTGATAAAATAATTTCCATTTGATGGTTAAAACAATTCAGCTGCCAGGATATTGGAGAAAACACTTATAATTTTTCATTTATAAAAGATAAATAGACAATCACATAACAAAAAACTAATTAAATCACTCTGAATACTCTCACTTGTGTGTCTACCAGTTTATGATATCTCCCCTATATAAGGAAGTTTAAGTATGTATTTCACTTCAAAAATGGTTAATTTAAGGCCATTTAACAGCTTTTAAACAATGTCTCTAATGTCTCTGAATGTCTCTAAAGTACAAATTAATTACATTACCAGAGGCTAATACTGAACTTAATCAAAGAAAAAAACTTATCTACACCTAGAAATAGGTCTTTCAGGAGAGAAAAAAAGGGAGAATGCCACTTTTCAGCAAAAAGTCTAAAACGTGTGACTCAGATGTGCAAGAATAATCACAGAAGTGTTGTCTGCATTAAGCATTTGTGCTGAAAAAAAAAAGTTTTAATAACACCTTCTTATAACGTCTGTGGATATTGAGTAATTATTTGGGCTTTAGATTTTCTCCTGAAAGAAACAACCTCATTGTGATGAAGTGT